CTGTCCTCTGCCTGCTGGAAACTTGTGGTTGAGCTTGTGGTTGACCTCCCAAGCTTCGTTGGGTTGGTTTCTCTTTTCTCCAGCCTCCCTCCACTATTGGATTTTTTCTTGCCTCTCCCAGGAGAGCTCCCCACCTCCAAATCCAGAGGCTCTGAAATTCCTGAGGGCATATTCTCGCTGTGGCCCTGGGATCAAGCCATACAGACTGCTCTGCCCAGGGCCTGCCAGAATGAAAGCAGGAGCAGACACAGTGGATCCAGAGGCACTGGGCGTTGAAATCAAGGTGAGTTGCACACTAACTGCATCCATCCCAGGGGTTTCTGGCACTCATCCATCCCAAGGGTTTCTGGCACATGCCATTGTTCCTGCTTTGAACTCTTCATGTGTTCTTCTAAAGTGTTGAGTCAGGTATGCTGTGTGAACAGGGAGATCTGTAAATACTCTTCCTGGCTGAAGGGAAGGAGTAGGGTCTTGGTCACTGGGTGTTCAAGGATTGCTAATACTGCCTCTGGCTTCATCCCTACTCCTAGTTAAAGAGATTGTGAAGTGCCCTTTGAAACTCCCACCTCCTCACTGTACAAGTGCCAGTGATCTCCAGTCTGCTCTTCGTAGGGCATTGCAGGAGGTCTTAGGGATTTGGAGGCTGCTCCCACCTTAATCAAAGGAACTGTGGCTTCTGGATGTTAGACAAAAAATTGAGAAATGGGCGAGCTTTTAATAAAGGAGGGTTAAATGGTCTGTCTGGGAGATCCTGAACTGTTCTGTGTCTCATGTCTTCTTTCTTTGGCAAGCATGGGGTTGTCAGTCTGTTGGTTCCCAAAGGCCATGGAGGGACTTAATTTAGGGCATAAACTCCTAAGGAGGAAACTCAAGAAAACTTAAACTCAAACCCACTGACCTTCTGCCCTGTCTTGGCCACCAGAGGAGCTGTGATAGCGAATGCTGTCTCTGGGGAAATGCCCCCAAGGACCAGCTAAGGATCTGCTCTGCTAGGCTTCTGGTGAGGGTCCAAACAGTTTTAACTCTGACCTTCCAGCTGCCCTGATGGGCTCAGAATACACCAATAGGAACCATGTGGACTGTGCCAAGCCTGGTTCTTTCTGTCCTTCTGACTTTGAGGGCATGGGGTCAGCCTGGGGACCTTAAAAAGGCCAGTTTTAGGCTTGGCTTTTGGTGCCTGTCTTCTCAAACCATGGCCAATAGCTCCTGCCTGAGTATGGCTCCACACCTGAGATGGGATGGGCTGAGGGTGTGCCTGTCCTACTGTCCTACACCTGCAATTCAGTGTCTTGTGTGGGTGCCTCTTTGCTTTGTCCCTTGTGGGGACAGGGGAACTGCCTGTGTGCACGTGTGAGCCAGGCCCTGCTGCCTCCCTCTCTCTTCTTGCACATGCAGGTGGAGGGCAGGAGCATTGACTTCATTAAGCACAACGCCCGCAGTGCCAAGCGGGCCATGCTGCGGCGGTCCCTGTCTGAGCAGGCGCTGGCTGAGCTGCTGCAACAGAAGCACCAGGAGCAGGAGGACTACAACACCAAGCAAAAGGGCCATGTCCCCCAGTAGTATGTATGCCCTCTCTGGTCCATGAGACTCTCTGTCACAAGCCCACTTCTATTCACCATGTCCCTCAGCTTCTGCATAGAAGGGGGGCTGAGGTCAGAGGTATTCTTGCAATGTGGAAGCAGTGGGATTTACTGTGGCCTTGGGAAAAAAAGCAATCTCTCCTAGTCTCTTCACAAGTACCCTGTGGCCAGTGTGTCTGGGCTTAGAAAGAATTTTGTCTCCTCCTCCCTGGGTTGCTGTTGTCTGATGGTGCTGACAGGGGGATGCTCTGTGCTCTGTGAAGTGTGCTCCTACCCCCTGTAAGCCTTGCTCCACATGATGTAGCTTCAATATTACAAGGTCTGCTTTTGGAGAGGCAAACACTTTGCTCTGCCTCGCAGTGTTCAGCCCTGGACCCAGGGTCAGAGTAACATCTAAGTAGTGACTTGCCTGTTGGGGTTCTGAGTGGAAAACTGTTCCTGGTGTCTGTGTCCTAGGACTGACCATGGTGTCAGTCCTTCGGCTCTGTGCTGTGCCTACTGTTCTCCACCAGCATCCCTGGCTGTGAGCCACTTTGTCCAGCTTTATTCTGTCACTGGTCTGCAGATGGTTTTGAGAGGACTCAGTGGCCTGGGCCAGAAGCAAGGAGCAGAAGCCCTTGTCTCCAAAGACCTTGTGTCGGCCTCAGTGCATCTCTTCTAGCAGTTGTTCAATGCACGTGGAGCATGTTTGCTGGTCCATGCATGTGGGCTAAGCCTGGGTGTATGGCAGGAGCATGTACCGGCATCATGAGTCTCTGTGGTCCTCAGGCAGGGGTGTGGAGTGGTGTTTGAAAGGCTTGATTCCTGGCCTCTGCCTGCCTCCCTGGGCACTCCTTCCTGCCAGATGTGCTGACACGTGCTTCCTTTGCCTTCCATTTGCCTTGCCAGTCTGCTGGAGAGGAAGGAGCTGTGGCGCAGAGAGAGGGAGGAGCGACTGCGAAACCTGCCAGATCCCAACATGCCACCTGGTCATACCATGATGCCGGAGGACCAGCAGCTGGAGACCCTCAGGAGTCTGAAGCAGAGTAAGAGGAAAAGAAACAGGGATTCCAGCTGAGAGAAATGGGTGATTCTAGCCAGGATCTGGGAGATGAGTTCTGGGACACAGATTCCTGCCACTTGGAGTTATCTGGAATAAGGCATGTAGCTGGGATGTGAGCCGCACATGTGGAAAGAGCAATTTCCTTCAGGTTGGTAGGCTTGCAAGTTACAGGATTGGCTCTGTGGAGCAGGCTTGTCCAATAGACCTGATGTTAGGGTTACTATTGCTCTTTCGATTGGAAGGGACCTTCAGACGTCTGTATTCCAGCCCTTGGTTCTTCAAAGCTGGTGCAGGTCACTCAGGTCCTCATACAGCAGAACTTTCAGTGGAAGGATGGGTATTCTAAGTCCTTCTTCCAGTTCTGCTATTTTCGTGGCTGCGGTTGAGGTCATGGGAAAAGGATGGATTTCTTTGCTCTTCACTCACCCAACTTGTTTGGTTTGGTTTTGTGTATTGCAGACCAGGAGCAGCTGGTAAAGGACCTGGTGATGCTGCCAGTAAGGGCAGACACCCTCAGTGTCCAGAAGAGGCGGGTGGAGCTGGAGAGGAAGCTCTCCCAGATAGAAGAGGCCATCAAAATTTTCTCGAGGCCCAAGGTCTTCATCAAGCTGGACTCTTGAGCTGGGGTATGGTTAGGGCCCGTGCAGGTGCCAATGCAGTGTCCAGTGTGCAGCCAGCACATGCTGCTCATGCTCCAGTGCTGTGTCTGTCCATGGGAAAGGGAGGGAGAAGCCCTAATATACTCTCTGTGGTCTGGAGAACAGTTGTCTCGGTCTTGCTTGACTTCCCAGAGATCAGCTCTCTGCTCTGGATCCATGGCATCACCTCTTATTTTCCCATGTTTAGCACTTCTAGGAACTGGTAGGAGGTCTCCCATGCAGCTGCCTGTGGTGTTCTGAGGGGATGAAGGCATGGACTCAGAGCATCTTTATGCAGTGAATCGCTTTATTGCCTACTGCTCTAACTTTTTATATCATTCTAACAACAGTTATTTGTAGCCTATTGCTCTAGCTTTTATACCATTCTATTTGTAGCCCATCGTGTTTAGTTCTCGACTTACAGTTTGTTTGTGAACACTGCTTGCTTTCTCACAGCCAGTCCCAGAGTAGCCAGTCTCTTATCTTTATGCTCTCTCCTCCTCAGCCTGGTGTCTTGGTATCTTATGCTCTCTCCTCTTCAGCCAGCTGGGTTTCTCTGCTTGATTGTACTTTGTTTCTTCTTTAACTCTTTCTTCTCCAGCCAAGCAGTTACTTCTCTTTGGCAATGATCAAATAGTTTCCATTGCCTCCCACAGTGTTCCTTGTCCTGCTCTGTCTCCTGAGCTTGCCCATGGACATTGCTCATTCTGGGCACCTGCACACTTGCCTGCACAAAACCCTTGTGCTATTGGTCTGCCACATGTGCCCTGGTCCTGAGCACTGCCCCATCCTGCTCACACAGCTCGGGGACCACGAAAAGCCACAGAGCTTCAGTCCTGTGCCCAGGGAAGAGTTGGGCTGGCTGCAGGGCGGTCTGGCAGGATGTCTGGAGAAGCCTTTGTTGTGTGTGTGGCAGAATGTGCTTCCATTAAGCATCATTTCCCTCTTCAGTGTGTGTGCAGCTACTGGTGAGCTCAACAGGGCCTGAGGAGCGCTGGTGTGTGGCAGAAACCAGCAGCACTCATGTAGTGCAGGCAGGGGGAGAGCCGTGGGTCCTGGTCGTACTTCCTTCAGAGGCCCAAGGTGGCCAGGGAAGTCAGGTTTCACAGGGATGGGGTGCTGGGACATGGTGGTGGACTCGAGTGGAGGATGAGCTAAGTCCTGGTAGATCTCAGTCTACAGCCCGACAGGACAAGGCTGGGCAGATGCCATTGCGGAGGTGAGCTCATGGTTTCCTTACCTTCAGAGGCCACACAGACCTTTTCAGGGATCCTGCTAAGTGAAGTGTAGACAGACTTGATCTAAAAGGGATCTCTGGAGGGCTTGGTCTACGTCCTGCTCAGCAGAGAGCCAGCCTCACAGCTGCGGGCCTTGTCCAGCTGAGTTAGAACATCTCCCAAGGCAGGGCTGCCACCACCACCTCACTGGGGCTGTCTCCAGGTGGTGCCACCCCCAGGGAAACCCTTTTATCCTCTGAAGTCCCATCAGAATGTCCCTCATTGCAGCTTCTGCCTGTTGCCCCATCTCCTTTGCTCTGATGGCTGCAGCAGTTTGCTCCAACCCAGGCAGGCTTTTTGGGGTGGGGATGTTGCGGAGCAGGGTCCAGCCCTGCCCACGGCACCCTGAGGGACACTGCAGTGCCTGGGGACACCAGGGACTGATGCTGCTGCCAAGGGACAAGGAAGCTTTTAGTGCAGGAGGAGGTGAAGATGCCAACCTGAGAATCACCCCTGGTCCCCTGAGGCCACCCTCCGGGCAAACGCTGCAGCCAGGCTGAGCCAGATGGATGAGAATGGTGCTGGGGGCTGTGGGCACCAGCCCCTGGCACCTCCCTGCCCATAGCAAGTCTGGACTAACCAGCCCTCCTGCCTGCTCTGCTGCTCTGCTGCCTGCTCCACTGCTCTGCTGCCTGCTCCACTGCTCTGCTGCTCTGCTGATGCTCTCCCAGACCATCATCTAGCTCAGGATCCCTGGAGCTGCAAACCCTGCCTGCCCCAGGCAGGGCTGTGGCTCTGATGGACAGTCAAAACCTGAACATTTGGTGCTGTCCCCTCAGACCCTGAGAGCTGTGGGTTCTTCTCCTCCTCACCCAGCCCCACCACAGGCCCTTGGCAGCAGCACTGGTGAAGGCTGGGAGAGCTGGTGTGGGCCCTTGGCACTAAACCACCCCTGCGAGGTTTTGGCTATGCCGGGGCCTCAGGACAGGAGCTGTATGGGGTTTGGTTCTCAGGGGTCAGCAAACGCAATAGAACACAGTCTGCCTTCCCTGTGGAGGGGACTGGCCTTGGGGCACACTCATGCCTGTGCCCAGCATTGCCCCCAGAGCCAGGCCAGGGCACTTGGTGCTGGTGCTGAAGGATGATGCCGCAGGAGATGTGGTCACGGGGTGAAACACCACAGGTGGTGGCCAGCCATATGGCCAGACCTGTTCCCACCAGGATGGGAGGAGGAGAAGCTCCTCCTGTGGGTCCATGGGGACTCAGCAGCACCTCTCCGCTGGTGTGTTCCTACATCCCTTCCTGTGGGCAGGGAGGTGCTGGTCCAAGGCTGGTCCAGGCCAGCACCAAAGCAAAGGCCAAAGCCACCATCAGCCCAGCACTTTGGTGCTGGGAGAGGGATGGAGGGTGCTGGGATACCCAGGTGAGCAGTACAGTGAGTACAGTACAGTACAGTGAGAAGGCAGTACGGTCCTCCTGGGCTTGGGGCTGGAGGAAAAGGATGGAGCTATGCCACCCAGCAGCATTTACTGGGGCTGAGTGACAGCCATGGTGCTGCTGCAAGCCCAAGGGCCACCATGCTCCTGTGGATGTGTTCAGGGTGTCTCCTATGAGGTGAGAGCCATGCAGTGGAGACAAGGTGGGAACTCTGGGGGGCAGGCTCATTATGTCAGGCCACCACGCCAGGCTCACTGCCCAGAATAGCCTGGACACGTGCCGTCGGACAGGGATGTGCAAGAGGCGGATGTGCTCCAGCATCCCTCCAGATTCTCCACAATGGACCTCGTTGGGATCACCTAGCGCAGCAGCAAAGCCACAACCCCAAGGCTGGCATCCCACAGCCACTGTCCCCTCCTTTCAGGGAGTCTGTGGAGCTAATTGTGAGGTTCATGCTGGTCCACGCTGGGACAGGCCACAGCATAGGATGGGGTGATAGGGATGGTGGAGGATGTGCCTGCCCCATCCCATGGCATTGGGCTGTTTGCTGTCCTGGAGGGGGCTGTGCCCTGTTGGGGTCCAGCCCCTTCAGTGACATGAACCAGGGACCAGCAAGGTGCTTTCTAGAAAAGGTTTTACTGTCCATTGCAATATATTAATTGATTATGCATATTTCGATAAAACACTTTAAAAATCCCCACTTGCTGGGACGCAGGGGGTGGGAGGCTGGGGGGCTCAGAGGAAAAGTGCCCGGCAATAGGGGGGCTCCCAGGGACACGGGCAGCAGGCAGGCCCCCCTACACCGCTGCCCACTGGCCCCATCATTGCCCCAGGGCCCACCACCAGCCCAGCTGTGTGGAAACTTGGCTGGTCACACCAAGGGTGGCACAGGACCCTGTGGCTATAGGGTGAGGAAGGTGCCATACTCCTGCCCGCTGCCCCGGCCGGGGCTCCCAGCGTTGATGGCGCGGGACCTGCGG